CAAATTTTTATTTTTGTTTCAATGTATCCCAATATTGATCACAAAAACTTTTTTTAAGAAAATAGACCAGTTAATCTCTCAGTTTATCTGGAACAAGAAGACACCCAGAATAAAAAAGATATTTCTCCAAAGAGCCAAGATTACAGGAGGAATGGGGTTGCCTTGTTTTCAGTTTTATTATTGGGCCTATAATATATGTTGTATGTCATTCTGGGGCGGGGAACCTGTGTATTCATAAGTGGTTGCTAGGCAACATGATGATGTCATAATAAATCAGCCATACAGTCATAAAATTAAAGTGATCTAGTGTTTTTATAACATGTCAGAGGCACATAAATGATAAAAAAAAGGGTCAATTTAGTTGGCAGATGTCTAGGCAACATGATGATGTTATAATATCTTCTCAGGATAAGCACCATCAAGTGTCCAAGTTGTACCTGTGTGGTGTAGGATTCATTTTCAAACATTTTGTGCATTATAGTACGATAGATTACACACACTCCACAATCTGGAGGCAGGACAGAGCTCCACACACTGCTCCAAAACACTATCACACAGGTAATATTAATCACATGATGACTAGACCTTTTTAATAGTAAACCATCCACATTACAGACTGCTTGCATTGCCCCTCTTTAATCCCATGTGCAGATTTGACAGACAAATGAAAAATAACAACATGGAAGCTTATTCGGTTTATAAATAATCTGGTTTATACTGCTCTGCTTTAATTTACATTTGACAAATACTAAAAGGTCAAAAGGACACTTTTGATGTGTTTATATTTTGACTCCGTGTTTTGTCTCCTGCATCTTGTTAAAGTTTAAAGTTTACTATAGGCAGAAAACCACTGGTGGAATATTCCACTCACCTCATGTGGATGTTTGCAGTAGAAATGCAGATTCCTACACATCTATATGAAGACCAGCGTATTAATTGAAATTATTTATTTTAGTAATAAGATAAGATGGCCTTTATTAGGCTATCAGTGGGAAATTCACATTATTAGAGCAGCAGAGTGGATAGAGCATTCATTTTAAAACTTAATGCAACAGTAACTGACTGGACTCAGTCAGTTACTGTTTGTTAATAAGATTTGGCTTCTTGTGTTTGTCTTTGCTTCTTTTACTTTTAACCTCCAGGATGTGCAAATGTTTAATCTGTTCCTTGAGTCTTTTATTCTGGTTTATTATATTGTGTCAAGTATTCAGGCTGTTCTTCTCAAGTTGTTTCCTGTTTTAGTCTGTAGGTTAGTTTTCTGGGATGTCCAGTGTTACTTTTACTTCATGTATGTCATTCCCTGATTGTTTCCAGCTGCTGATAATTAGTCTCACCTGCATTTCATCCCTTGTGTCTTAGCTGTGTGTTTACAGTCTCGGCACGTCTCTGTTGTTGTTTTTGTGGTGTCTGTCATGTGCTCTTTTTAAAATTTCGGCAGGCATCTCTTTTGTTGTTCTCCTGAAGTTTGTTATTTGTTGAATATTGTTTGATAATGAAAAACATTTTTGTTGTTGTTGTTGTTGTCTCCTGTGTCCAGCATGTGGGTCCTGTCAGAACACAATTTATAACATCCAGTTGCTAACTTAAATACATCACAATCAGGTTAATAGCATTTTTGGATCGTATTAAATGTCTATGGTAAGGCAATAAAAGATTTTAAGTGGATAAATTTAATTATAGAACAAAATTAACTCATGTTTGCTACCCTTCAAAAATAAAATGTATTTATTCAAAAACTGAAAAGTTCACTATTTTAATTTCTTGTGATTACAAAGTTGGTTTGAATGACTCTGTACTAAGGTTGATATATAGTAGCAAACTAAAACGATGTCTTAAGATCAATGAAAATAAAAATAAAAATTTTTTATTGAGCTGCTTGCTGGTACAGTTGTTTGGAGTGTGGATGGGTATCTCTCAAGAGCCACGTCTTTTAGTGTCCGGGCAAAAATGTGGACTTTGTCTTTTGATAGATGGATGTTATCATAAAGACAACTTACATCTAGGTTATGGTGTTTGGCAAAGTGGATTTGGGGCAAGCTTTCACACTCTTTTTCTAGTTTGGTGTTGATCTTGTTGATGGTGTCAGGGTGCATGTTTCTCACTGGAAGCAGGGCTGACATGACCACTCTGCTCTCTGGGAAGGTGTTGGAAGCTTTCTCTATGACTCTTTTGAGAGATTCTGACAGTCTGTCCTGCTCTCGCCTCAGCTGATGACAGCCAGTGTGGATGATGATGATGCTCGGGGTTCCCAAATCCTCCTCTGACAGAATTTGGATGGCTTTTTGAGTGTTTGGGCAATCAACTTTGAACACTTTGTGCCTGGGGAAGAGTTTCTTCTCATTTATGAATTTTCCATTGGAGTCAATGAGGATGACAATGTCATGCTTGACCCGCTGTTCCTGTGAAGCTTCCTCCTGTATTTCTTCTTGGCTTGAATCTTCCAGGTCAGTGTTGGTCGAAGTAGTTGTGTTTTCATCGCTCTTATAAACAATATACAGCAGTATCATTAATATAACATTCAAACTGATAATTACTAATTATATACACTGTGACACACAAAACACACACAGTATGTGTGTGCTGCAAGGCTCTAGCAAGTAAGGGTTGCTGCAGCACCCCTTGGTGGATTTCAGAGGACTAGCATAGTTATTTATTATAAAGGAATGAATATGGAAAACAAATTAGTTTTTCTTATCTTCAATATTCTGCAGAATATTGTCTGTCTTGCCTACTGACCTGTTCCTGTGAAGCTTGTTGTTCTTGGCTTGACTCTTCCTCCAGGGCCTGGTCAGTGTTGTTGCTTATGGTAGTGGGAACTGTGTGTTCACCGCTCTTATAAACAATATACAGCAGCATCATTAATATAACATTCAAACTGATAATTGCGAATTATATGCACTATGACACACAAAACACACACCATATATGTGTGCAAGGCTGTAAAAAGAAAGGGTTGCTGCAGCACCCCCTGGTGGATTGCAGAAGACTAGAATGCCCGCAACTACTAAAGGAAAAAGTAAAGGAACTAAAGGAAACTATAAAGGAATGAATATGGAAAACAAATTAGTTTTTCTTTTCTTCCATATTCTTCTATATAAATTCTTTAGTTTGGTCAGGTATAGATTGTCGTTTTTCCTGCTTCTCTGCTCTCTTCTCTTCCATCGTCTAGAGATGGCTGCCCCTCCATAAGCCAATTTCTGGAGTTTAATAATTTAGCAGGATCTGTCATCGAGTGCTTATTCCTAGGGGATTTGTTGTGATTTTTTGCTATATAAATAAACCTGAACTGAATGTAATTGCTTATTTATGGAAATATGAGATCATAAGATTAATTTATTATTTATAATATAATTTTGCTGGATTCTATCTGCCTTTATTATGCTGTGTAATCGCACCTGCTGGTTAGAAGGAGTTTAATACTTCTGTGATACAAAGTATAATACTTTGTATCTAATTTGCAAACATAATTGCCATTATTCCTCCACTGTAGACACAGGATGTTTTTGTCTTTTTCAAATCTGGATAACAGTTAAAATAAATGATTAGGAATTATGAGCTCCAACATGAACAAGTCAGTTTTACCTGTTATGGTAGAGGAATGCAGACAAACCAGCAAACAAGAAAAGATGCAAAAAATTTCCACTTCTCTGTCCCTGAAATGTAATTTGAGCTGAGGTTGCTGGGCTAACAGTTTGGCTGTTATGTAGCACGTTTAATAAAATAATCCCAATTTGCTTACTTTTCATCACAACTTTATGTTTCAGCATAAATCATAAGAAGCTACTAATACATGATTTACTATATACAGCTACTTACCGCCATCTTGATGCTCTTCTCTTTTCTGATTGTTTTCTGAAAGGGAATGATCATGGGATATTCTCAGATATTAACTCAACACATTTTTAACTACAAAAACATACATGAAGAGTTATGAGTCATGGTACCAAAAAAAAATCACTCTTCATAATTACAATGAATCAGTTTCTTTCTAACCAAATTTCATCCTTTCAAGAAACACATGTACTGATTGTTATTTGGCAGGTTCATACGTTTTGCAAGACTGTGGAACCCTTGTAAAAAGGTTTTTTTAGTCATCTCCATTGTTGTGGTCCTCATTGCTAAACACAGCACTAGAGTATTTATTTGCAGATGGTAGAAAATCTAATTTGAATGAATGCAGGTTGAGGGCTGTGAGGTTGATTGCACACAAAGCTTTATTAACTTCTTAACTTCCAATAATTTTGAGTATTATAACAATGCTAGCTCACTTTGCATTCCTGACATAGATATAGAACAGTAGAGAATCAGGTTCAATACGGCCCACAGTAATACAAAAGAACAAATCATAATTTGTTTTAACTTAAAAGAAAAATGCTGACAACATTTTTAAAGAGAAAGTAACTCAAAGAAAAATATAGCTGGAGGGTTTATTCTGTGTTGCAGCAAACATTTTTGTTGTGATTTTAGATAACATTTTTGAAGACATGCAGATTCTCAACCCTCCAATTATTCCTCAGTAAAGAAAGAGCATGAGCATCTTACCTCAGCTTCACACGAGGAGATCACACCGGACAAGGCAACCTCGGTTGACGTTGCTTGACTGACTTTCAGGTTGTGGTGGTGGATTATTTAACTGCTTTTCGTCCTGCCTTTCTAAATGTTTGTAAAGACTTTTCCTGTGGTGCAACAGTGGGGCTATGGCGTGACAGTGACGTTAACCCCAACTCGTTTTGCAGGTTTTCCTGTACTTACCCAAGAATTCTTGGTTGAACCCACCTTGTCCAAGTCTTTCAACACACCAACAATAGCTATAGTGAACAAATGTCAAAACCTGTCATGTCAGTCTATTCATAGGTGGTTCCTTGGCAGCACAATATATATTGGCCATCTTTACAGTTTGGAGGATAAAAATTATATTCATGAAATTAAAGTGATCTAGTGTTTTTATAAAATCTTAAAGAGAAAATTGGTCATTTTTGCACACAGATTGCTTGGCAACATGATCAAATTATAATAGCTTATCAAGATAAGCAGCATCAGGCACCCAAGATGTACCTGTTTACTAATTTTTGCTGCTGAACTTTGGGTAGTGTAGGATCCATTTCAAAGCATTTTGTGCATTATAGTACAATAAATTACACATAGATCCACACTGCAGGGAAGAGCGAGCTCCACACACTGCTGCAACACACTAATGTACGCACAAGTAATATTATTAACACGATGACTAAACACAGATTAGAACTTCTCTATAGTAACCCGAGCCATCCGCATTAAAGCCCTTTCACATCGGACGCGGCACACGCAATGCTGTTCTCTGAAACACACCTCCAATCACATGTGCAGATGTGACAGACAAATGACCACATGAAAGCTTTTTGTGTTTATAAATAATCATGTTTATAGTGCTCTGCTTTCATTTACAATTTACAGATACTGAAGGTCAGAAGGACACTTTTCATGTGTTTAGATGTTGACACTGTTTTTAGTCTCCTGAACGTTGTTCAAGTTTGAAGTTTACTATTGGCAGAAAATCACTGGTGGAATATATACGTGAATGTTTGCAGCCGAAGCACAAGATTCCTACACGTCACTTTCGACTAGCACCTCAGGTAAAAACAGAATACCGTTGCTGGACACATGCCAAGGAATGATAAATGACAGTACATGAACCTGACCTAAAGTAAACACAGCCTCTGATACAGGTTTCACAGCTACACTCACAGCAAAACATGAACTACACCCAGTAAGCCCAACAGTTTTGCAACATAACAACCGCCCAACAGTTTTGCAACAATGTACTTACTAGTTACACAAATGTAAGAAAATACTCTTTAGCCTAGATATCCACTGTTGTCGCATGCAAAGAGCATTTAAGGAACATTTTCACATTCAAGGGAAACTCTGCTGCCGTGAAAAAAGGTCAATTTACTGGCAGTGTGACATTTTAACTTTAAAAAGAAACACCTAGCCGGATGACCTCTGCAACCAGGGAAACAGGAAACGAAGCATAAAGGTCCCAGCGCGGTACTGTGTTGATCCAGATTCGTATTGCAGAGTTTGTGTCTGTTCCAGCAGCTCTTTGGATATGGAAAAAAATATGAGGCATTTTTTGGGAGCTCTATTTGTCTTCCAGATACTTACTGCAGGTTGTGCTATGCTCAGTGACACAGTCTGCCTGGATGGAAAAGCCACCTGAACAAGCAGAATTCATCATGAAGAGAGAGAAGGTAAGATAATCCTCAAGATGAATGAGCACTTAAAAGACTTATTCTTAGAGCCTGGAAATCACCATCTCCTCCACTGTTTAGGGTTTGGCTACGTGAGATGGTTGCATTTGTATATTGAAGAGGTTCATTATTGTCTGGCTGACACTCATTTTAAGTTTGCTGAAATCTGGGGCCCTCTCTCAATCATATTAATGGGGATTCAATATAAACTTTAACCCATTTGACTGCACTTTGTGTTTGTGTGAAACTGCACTTCTGCCAGACCCTGATTCCTTCCTGGTCTTGTTCCCCACATCTTCTGGACTTGGTGAACTCTCTGTTGCCCTGTCTAACATGGTCAAGAGTTGGGAGTTCGCCTTGTAATCGGAAGGTTGCCGGTTCGAGCCCCGGCTTGGACAGTCTCGGTCGTTGTGTCCTTGGGCAAGACACTTCACCCGTTGCCTACTGGTGGTGGTCAGAGGGCCCGGTGGCGCCAGTGTCCGGCAGCCTCGCCTCTGTCAGTGCGCCCCAGGGTGGCTGTGGCTACAATGTAGCTGCCATCACCAGTGTGTGAATGACTGGATGTGTAAAGCGCTTTGGGGTCCTTAGGGACTAGTAAAGCGCTATATAAATACAGACCTCACACAGAAGATCATCTTCTTTGGACACTGGTATTTCTTTGAACTTTTGATTTGTACTGGCTAATCGGTGTATTTTTTCTTTTCTTTCCTGTTTTCCTGTTTGTTTTTTTCTGTGCTTGAATGTTATTGTTTTTGAATCTTGTGTCCTTTGTCTGGTGTGATTTTATGTAACTTCGAACTTAAAATCTTATAAATAAACATTAAAAAAAGATGAATGAGCACTTTACTCACTTTGGCGAGAACTGCTTAAAACTGGTAAGATCATAAAGTTCTAAAATAACACAAATGAGAAGCAAACACATGGCAGCAGAGGTGTTTTTACACTTTATTTTCCACCTTATAAAACAGAAGTTGTTTATCTTTTATGATTATAGCCTTCTCAAGACAAAATGCAGGAGCGAAGGAAAAAGACCCAACAACAACACAAACCACCAGTAGACCACATTCCTTGGTGCGCCACATATTACTGACGGCAGTAATAACTAAGAACTTTTTGCCAGGGTCGTCAAACCTCTAAAAAACCTCGTGTACTGCAGCCACTCTGCATGCTTTTGCCGCCCTTCCTTTCTTATCATGATAAATTCTGCTGCAGTTGTTTCCTTTGTTATTCAAGCCAAAATTTCAGAGTGTGAGACCAGAAAATTCATTTTAGGTGTGTCGCTGTGAACTTTCCTTATAACAAAAACAAATTTCACACCAACTTCGGGCGCCACAGAGTCTGATCATATTAGGGGCTAACAACTCATATCGTACAAAAACGTGGTGTGTAGTGCTTTTTCCGAATTCTTCACTATGTTTGTTGTGGTGCCGAGAACAAACCTTTGTCGCTGAGCGTGGCATGCGAAACAAACAGAGAGTGTATATTGCAATCACAGGGGAACGATGAATACGAAAATCTAAAGAATTGGGATTTGTAATAAATTCTTTTTAAAAACATATGGACAATGTTTGTACAGTTTCTTTGAGATTGGCCAGTAGTCTCATCCCTTTGCACCACCTGTAGTTTATAATATGAAAAAAAGAGCAAAGTTTTATTTTGTGCTTTTACCACCCAACCCAACTACCAAAGCATTTTTCTCCCTATACCAAGAACACAAAATTAGCCAGCCAGACTAATCTCCAGTTTGTAGCTCTAGTTAGTCCAGCTACTTTATCAAATCACAGCAGGAAGAGAGAGTTCTGCTTGGATTCAGCTAAAGATAAACTGTCTTCCTCTTCAGTTTGTAGACAGAGCGGATTGTAGTAAATGTGTGCAAAAGGCTGTTGGTGAATGCCTGCAGGACAAAGAGCACACAGAGGAATAATTAGGGAAGGCTGCTGCAAAGAATGTGAGATACATATGCACCATTTTAACCCTGGGAACATTTTAAAGGGAACATAAAAAGAAGAACTAAGTAAACTAACTTACATACATCTACTTTGCCTCATCTTTGACTTCAGCCAAATCCCGCTTGGTGTCACTGAGGCTGAGATATTTCTGAGATATGCAGACATATTTCTGCGGTTGACACGCAGTTTTGAGGCTGTAGTGTTCGCTGCCTCCATGGTTGTGCTTCTCAAACCAGTACTCCACTGAGTCACTATCCAGCTGATCCAGCTGAACCAGCTGTAAACAGATGTAGCAGACATAGAGATGTAAAAAAAGTAACTGATACAAGTCTACATCTGTAGTTTTAGATTGAATGATCGACAGGGAGACGGAGAGAGAGAAAATGCATTGTTCTATTTACCTCAAGGGAGTGTTTGTCCCCCTTTAGGAAATAGTCTTTCACCATATTGTCACCCTTCAGATTGAATTTAAAAGCTATCCAGTTGTATGAGCGGTGTTTCTCTATGTAGACCGTATGATCATCTAAAAAAACCAAACAAAATAACATTAACTTTACTTCTTTATTAGTGACACAATAACCCATTTCATGCAATAAATCAGTGCACATATAAAGCTATCAGTGTAAACAATGCTGTTTCCTGTTTTTGGATTGCCACTTAGACAAATCTGAATGATTTTGCTGTTAAAATTCTTACTTGTTTGGGAGTCAACAGCACACAGCTTGAGTCCATTGTACAATTTCTGGACTTTCACAAACTTCCCATCTTTAATCTTCAGAACACGTGAATTCATCCTGTCAGCTCAGAGGGGTTCTGGCACGAGGAGGAGAACGTTAAGACCAGCAGAGATCTTAAACAATAGGAGGTACACAGACTGGACTCCTTGTTCAGTAATTTGACTTAATAGGATTAGATGTTTGTTCCTAGTTCATGAATGCTTTCTGGAAATGATCTTAAGTTCCTTGCAGCTTTGAAGGTTTCCAGCTTGTGATTTATTTCTGTGATTACTGATATATCCATCTTTAAAATTAGAGGATAAGAGATTTAAAAAAGTCCTTTCTTGAATAAATTTCTTATGGAGAATGAAACAAACATAAAGAGCAAAATAAAATATGATGCAGGGGGGACATTTCAGCATATTGTTCGTTTGAATTTTGCAAAAACACATAATAGCACTCTTAAATAATAATAATAATACGTTTAGTGTAATATTTATCTACTTATTCAGCTACTTCTGGAGTCAGAGTAGCTAATATAACAGATTTTAGCTTTTATTGAACTATTACCAAGTTGGAGTCTTGAGTTATGAAGCCCTGTGTAAACAACAGCTATTTCACGGAGAAAATCGGGAGCGCATGACAAATAAACCTTCAGATAGTTTTTGCAGCGACTGCTGCAGGCTGCTTTCACACCGCTGTCGGAGAGTGCAGTGCAGCCTGCGTTATTTTTAAACCACTTTACTGAGAACAGTACTGAGAACTGAGAACAGCTAAAGAACGCTGTTGCGCATGCACAAATTAAAGCACCTGTGACTTACCGGCTGTGAAGATGTCTGAAGTAGAAGCGCAGTTTGTAACTTTAGCCCGCGGTGCCGGAAAGGAGACTTAAATAGGAGGCGAGTAATCTGTGGTCATTGCGCAAGCTTGTGACGTGGGAGTGCTGGACGTGGGTTTATCGTTTCTGTTATTCT